CACAAACTTTGATTCTGATCACTTGACAATTTTCAGCCATAAATCACTTGAATCTGACACTTCCTTGCCTTCACAATGATCCATAACAAAAGTGACTTGAGAAATGAAATGTGTTGCCACCACACCAAAACCCTTATCAGAATGAATGAATTCTAATGAGCTTGACTTCTTGATGATCCCCAAATATCCACATTGAACCTTCTTGAACATGCCTTGAAAATCAGAATCACAACTTTGAAAATTGACCCGCAGTGTACTGTCTGTAACCCTAATTGGAACCTCATATACACACCATTTGAGTTATGCACACTCTGGCCTTGATCATGGAACAAACCCTTGTCTGACTGACAGATTAAGTCAAAACCATTGAACCTTAGTCCATACTACACATACACCTGATCTACCAGCCTTGCCTGAAACTTGATTCACCCTAGCAACACCTTGTCACACCCTCATTTTCACCTTTATCCTTTCACACTCTGCATTCGTCATATCACACATTATTCCATTGCATATCGAGCATGTGGGTTCACAGGGTACAGATTAGGTCGATTTGTTATTTTCCATTTCAAATAAGGTAATTTGTCTATCTTGGACTACTTGAGGGAAAAGGTTCATTATCTAAGGTTTGATCTAAATTGGAAGGTTTACTCATCTAGATTTATTCAAGGAGAATTTACTTGAAAAAATATTAGGATGTTCAAGATATATCCCTCATGAACATGAAATTCAAGGCCTAAATTCAAGATTGCTTCATCCAATTTTGTTTCAATTTCTTGATCAAGTGGAGTCCAAATTTGTAAAGCATGAGTCAAGATCACAAGTCCATAATTCAAAACTTAATCCATTTCAAGTTTAATGGTTCTAAGGAAATCCATCATGAATTCATGAATTAGAGGCAAGAATATTACAAAGAGAAACTTTATGACATTACAAGAATGTCATTTGTTGCAAGATTTCCAACTCTAAGTAATGTTTAGAAATTAATTTATTTCTAATCTTCATTCAAGTCTCTAATCAAATTCATGTTATGGTAATGCCACACCAAGTCCACATTGTGCCCACAAACATCCAAAGAAAATACTTAAGAGTTAACATTGGTATGTTTCAAGATCAAGACCAAGTGTGTTCAACCATAGGCAATATGGATGCAATCCAAAACAGCCCCATGCAAGAAGTGGCAATATGTATCATGTTACAAAATCATTTTTATGTCATAAGACCAAGAGAATAGCATATGATAATGCATCTAAAAATCAGAATTTCAAAATTCTATCCAAAGGTTAACATTGACCAAGAGGGCAGTCCAAGCATAAGCCAACAAAGAGGTGAAAGGATTGAGGGCAATGTAGAGGGCTGTAGAAAAAGACAGCATGGGAAAGTAGTGCAGAAAAATGCAGCATAGCCATATACATGTAAATGGAAAGAAAGAGAGTGACATGAGAAAAGGTGGTAGGAGACATTACCCCATGAAAAAATCTGATGTTTGGGGAGAAGGGAAAACCCTAGAGGGGAGAGATAAGAAGGAGGGGGCTGTAAACAAAAAAATATCACTCTTTACACATTCAACATCCACTACAAAAACCAGAAAAAGATAGAAAGAGAGCAAGAAACTTTAGAGAGAAAACCAGAAAAAAGAGTTAGAGAGAAAACCAGAAAAAAATAGAGAGAGGAAGAAACCCTAAACAAAAAACCAAAAAATAGAGAGAGTAAGAGAAACCCTAAAAACCAGAAATATAGAAAGGAAGAAAAACCAGAAAAAGGAGAGTGACATAAAAGCACAAGAGGACCATTGAGAAGCAGAACCTTCACAACATATAATGAAGAGTGGAGAGCACATCCAACAAAAATCAGTGGAGGACTTGCAAGAAGGATAGAAAGCTCTTGGGTATCCATTTCATCAAACCTTTCTCTCTTTACTTTTTGCTTTTATATTCAGTTTATTTCCTCTTTTATATGTTGTGGTACTGAGTATATCATGTAGGTTCTAAGGGGACCAAAAAACCATTTTTAAGAACTAATAGAAAGGAAAGAAAACCACAAAAGACAGCAAAAAAACAACAAATATTGCATTTTCCGCTTCAGGTCGCGGCGCGAACATGCAAAAACCAGAATGAAACTTTCCCAGTTTGCGGCGCGAACTGATCAGTTTGTTTGTTTTTTTTGCTGTTTTTACCTTGAAAATTTTTTTTTGCATGTCTCGATTTTTTAGCCGGCTAACCCCATATGTTTGTATGATTTTAGTATGTGAATATTGTTATTATTCTTGTTGACTTTTGATTCCAAAAACCATTTTCAAAAACAAACTCTCGATTTTGTCGAACCATTTTTAACCTTGTAAGCCGATTGCCTTGCGCATCGCCATCGACCTTGCCCGTATCGCTTCAAACATCTTTACAAACAATAAACCTTGATCCAACATCAAGTGACCCTTTTTCTCATAAAAAAAAACCCAAAACACAATAAAATATACGATTAGAATTATGCACCATGAACTTTAAAGTGGCGGAGAAGGAATGAGAATGGAATCCTCTTACACTCGTTCCGAATGTTTCGAATACAAAGCGCTCGACTTGGTTATTCGAGACATTCATCTATATCCAAAGTCTTTTGTATAATCCTAGTCAAGAATAAATTCCTCCCTATGAAAAAACCTAAAAACGATATCAACTCATCAAACTTATTTTTCCTTAGGGCGTCAATCCGAAAACCCTTTTTCAAGGTATAAAATCAACCAATACACAATTATTTCTTAAGTGGCCGAACTACGACTGCTCTGATTTCTCACACATGTTGAGAATACGTAGGCATAGGATTGCGATGATCCTAGCGAGCATAATTTTCTTTCCCATCTTTAATTATCCATACCCTTTACCCAAGGACATGTTACGTACGTTCTACCGCAAACAGGTAACGCATAAGACTCCAAGAGCGAGCTGCAATACACCTAACTGCTAGAATGCGCACGATAGCATCGTCCACCCAACATCCCGTTTTCCACCGTAGTCCCATGAACTACGAATGCTTTGATTCTTCACTTCATACAAGTGAATATACATAGGCACAAGGGCCCCAATCCTTGGTGAGCACTCTAATAAACACCAACCTCTCTTTCTTTAAACAAGCAAACTTTTAGAATAAAACACCCATTCACACCAAACAACCTAGAAGGTTCCTATCGAGTACGATGGATGCGAGGGGGTGCTAACACCTTCCCCTCGCATAACCGACTCGCGAACCCTAAGACTTGGTTGCGATGACCATGCTCCTTTCCAAAAGGTTTTATCGCTATATCCCTTTCCCTCCTTGGGATAAATAAAATCCAGTGGCGACTCTGTGTCATTTTTCGCGTAGCGACACACCTTGAGCAGGAAAAACATTTTTTTTTGGATTTTCTGAATAACAGTTAGTGGATGGAAGTATAAATGAGTGTGATATACAAGAAGGATAAGTTTGGGGTATGACAACGCTCAAGTCAGTATGTGAATGAGTAAAGAGTAATCATAATTGTGTTTGAAACTTGTTACTCATAATGGCGTCATTCCTTATACATAAGAGATAGAAATATTTGTTTCGCTATCTTTTACACGTGGAATATGGAGGATCGTTAGATATGCTTGAGGCAAGAATCCCCTGCAGCATGGTATATGATAGTGAAATTCTAGCAAGCAGATTGCAGATGTCCTAATAATATGTCACGACATTGTTCTCTGCATAACTTTAAAACAAATGTAGAATAAACAAGCTGACATTCTGAATATCAGCAACAGAATCACTGTAGATGATTCAACATCTGTTACAACATGATAATCCATAAGCAAATATTGAACTGTAAATTTGCATAATGATAAATAACACAAGATATGTTAACCCAATTCAGTGCAATTCACCTACATTTGAGGGCTACCAAGCCAGGAAGAAGAATCCATTATCAGTAGTATAGTTTTATGTAAAAAACCTCTGGTTTACCTATCACTACCCAATGAAAACTTTATCACTATAAGTCACATATAATTGATAAGAGAACCCCATTTAACTCCCTTAATCACTACCTGTGATATCTAACAGTTATAGTCACAATAACTATATCATTCTACTTGAAAGACACCTCTTTTAATACAAAGTTCAGCAAAGCAACCTTGACTAACGAACCTACTTGGATTTGCTTCAAAGATTGAAAATTTCACCCAAATAACCAACATTACCCCCCTTAATATCCAAACTACCCAACTTTCCCTTATATTCTCCAATCTACCCAACTTTTGTATTTTTTTTTATTACAAGGGGGCGCCATGGGGTATGGCTCATCCCTTATAATTTATATGGGGGCGCCATCCAGGATGGAGGCACCCTATAAATTATAAAGGGGGCGCCATCCCCTTTGGCTCCTCCCTTAAATGACTTAAAGGGGGGAGCCATCCCCTATGGAGCTCCCTTTAAACGAAAATAATTTTTCAAATATATTATAATTAATATAATTAAAATTTTATATTATGTTATTCCAATTTTTTTTTATAAATAGGTAGACTTGTTGTTAACATTGTTTCATCCAAATTTAGAAGAGTGAGTCATGTACCTTAGAAGATATGGGCATGTAATTTTTTCACCGACGAAGCCTCCGATAAGGATGTTGTTTTGGAACATCCAGACTTTAGAACAACTACGAAGAAATTTGAATCGGTGGCTAGAAGGAGACATTCCAAATGGTGAAAGAATTATGAGTATTGAAAGACTTGTTTCGTACTTCTCTGTTGAAGACGGAAATATACGGCGGGACTGGATGCGAATTAGAGATGACAACGAAGTTAGGTCTATGATGTTCGGAACTGATGATATTACTTTGATTGTTATTATATCTTAGGTTATGTTGTAATAATCGTTGTATTTTGAATGATTTGCGTTGTTTCTATAGAAGTATTTCAATTTGTTTTGGTGGTAATGAAAAGTTGATATAAATATTAAATTCCACGATTACACATTTTTTAAAGACCAAATAAAATCTACCTAGAACTTGTTCCAACATTTGGACAGTTTTTCCTCATATGCCCGGGAAGACGACATATTCCGCACAATCTTTCCATTTTTTCAGCTGTATCCATTTCAGTTGTAATTCGGGTGCTTTTGGGGCGGCCCTTTTTGTTTCTTCTCATATTTTCGTTGTGGTAGATTGTGTCTCCATGATAGGTTGGCCAGTAGTCCTCACTAGCTACCACTGGAAAACTGCTACTGTAGATACCGAATAAGTTCACGACCTTGTAAACTTCTGATAGCTGCAAGAATGGATCCTGACGAGCAGTTGAACATGTGACAATGACATGTGAACAAGGCATGCGGAAGGTTTGAAACTTTCCGCAGTCGCACCAATTTTTATGAAGTTCCACCCTGTAGTGTCCCATTGGCCGACCCTCGTTGTGATCCATTGTCTCATCAACAATGAAGTTGTAATCGTGACAATCAAATGGTCTAACTCGATGTGAGTCCGCCTTAGAAGTTTCATCCCTCATATACTTCATGCTTGATTCGCTAAATATTTGCCCTGATTGCAGTACATCGCTCCATTTTTTGCCTTTTGCCGCAAAAAGTGACCCCAATCTGTAATACGTTGCCCTTACCAACGCAGTGATGGGGAGGTTCCTAGTTCCCTTAAATACGCCGTTTAGGGATTCTACAAGATTTGTGGTCATGTGACCCCATCTACACCCTCCATCAAATGACCTAGTCCATTTCTCGACTGGAATATTATCCACCCACCTTAATGCTTCCACGCTTGACAACCTTATTTCTTCTCGGTAATACATGAACGATGGTTGGTTTATGGCATACCCAGCGTTCACAACTTTTTTACGGAGATTTCTGTCTTTAATTTCCCGCATAAAATTCTAAGCAATGTGTCTTATGCAGAAGACATGGACAGAAGGAGGATTGTGCCAACCATTAGCAGGATTGTTATAGGCGCTCACAATAGAAGCATGTCTGTCAGAAATCATACATAAGTTGGGTTGAGGTGCGACATGTGTTCTGAGATTTCTGAGGAAGAAACTCCAAGCTTCGCATGTTTCACCCTCGACCAAGGCAAAGGCAATCAGAAATATATTATTATTTCCGTCTTGTGCTACCGCCATCAACAATGTTCCTTTGTATTTTCCATACAACCATGTTCCATCGACTTGTATAACTGGTTTGCAAAACGCAAAACCTTTGATACATGGTTGAAATGCCCAAAAGAGACGAGAAATATCCTACTTCCAGCAACACATGTTCCTTCAGGAGTGTATGCTGGTAGTGACTCCAATATTACAACCGTACCAGGAATGTATTTTTGAAGTGCTAGTAGATACTGTGGAAGTTGATGGTAAGAATGCTCCCAATTCCCATATACATGTTCCACCGCTTTTATTCTACCTATCCAAGCTTTCCTATACGATGGCGTATAGTTGAACCGTGCAACAACATGAGAGATAATTGTGCTCACCTTCACAGATGGATCAGCGCCCACAAGATGCAAAATCTCTTGGGATATTAATTGAGAGCTTAGTTTTCCATGATCTTGCCGATTGATGTTGGTTGTGCAACTATGAGGTGGATCCATCGAACCTAACTCCCAACAATCACTTCTTTTCCGATAGGACGCTGCTAACCGAAACTTGCAACTTGCGTTACGACAAACTACGACATAGCATTTTGAGTCGTTCCGATTGATGTAAAAATCAACAAAGTTATCCATATGAAACTTTCTTATGGCTTTCATGCACTCCTCTTTTGTGCGGTACTGGTTTCCGACTTTCAAGACACCTTCAATTTGTTGAGCAGGATTGTAGAAATAATCTGAGGAAGTATCGTCTCCACTGAATTGCAAGTTCGTCATGTGTTGGGGAGGACAATACACTTGATTTAATGGTAAGGCCTCTTCATCTATGTCTTGCAGGGGAGTCATTGCAGTGTAGTCCCCGGTCCCGAACAAATTAACCATTTGATCAACCATGGCCTCTGGATCTTCTTCCTCCTCGTCCACAACATCAATTTCATCTATATCTGTTGTTTCGCCAACCTCATGTTCAGTTTGGTAGAGTAACAGATAAACCTCGATATAGTCGAACCTAGAGTGTTCATGACTATCAAACATTTGATCAACATCGCTGTTGTCTTGTATTTTCTCTTGAAAATACTTGACCTGATTGTTGTAAAAAAAAACAGGACTTCTGTAAATGATCTGGGAGATTTGACCAGACAAAATCTTCGACTGTATGCGCTCTTTGAAATGCACAAAATTTGCTTTTCTACTCATTGTTAATCGGGTAACATCTGTATTTTGAAACCCAAAACCCGAATTCTCAGAGATGAAAGTCTCTCCATTAAAATGGGCATGAACAATATAATTTGTTGTTCTAGACATAGTTGAATGATAGTTTAAGGGATGTGTTAGGATACAATGAGATGAAATGGCCACGAAATGGGGTATACATATAGATGAAATGGCCACGAATTTAATATTATTAAAAACATAAGGGAGGCGTCGTGGGGTATGGCTCCCCTTCATTAATACATAAGGGGGGCGCCATGGGGTATGGCTCCCCTTCATTAAGATATAAGGGGGGCGCCGTGGGGTATGGCTCCCCTGTGACATGTGTAAGAAAATTCACTTTTTGCATGCATGCAAAATGACATGTGTACGAAATTTTCTACACATCAATTTCTTTTCTACACAAATTCATATATCTCATTAACTTCTCTACACATCAATCAATATTTCAACTACACAAATTTAATTTTTACCTGTACAACCATAAATTCAAATTTCAAATTTCAAATTTCAAATTCAAAATTTTTACTATAAATACTACTCCTCCTCATTCCAAAAAACACATCAAATATATCCAACAATTCAAATTCTCCCAATATTTTCCTCATATATCCACACTATAGAAGTCATGTCTCTGTTAACATTGGGTGAAACGCATAGAGGAACACCAAGCAACATCGCGTCTTATGTAAGTAGTTGTACTTGATAATTCACAATGTTCTAATTTCTTGTTTTTACAAATACAATGTTCTAATTTCTTATTTGTTTTTATGTAGAATACTCATGACTTTCTTACTCGTGGGTATAAACATTTCCCACATGACCCGTTAATTCAACCTTTTTTGGAGCGCGCGGGATTTGGAGAAGTAATTAACATTACAAATTATCTCCTTGATACCAAGTTTATCTTGGCTCTGCAAGAAAGGTGGTGTCCCGAGACGCACACATTTCATCTTCCAATAGGTGAATGTGCAGTTACACTCGAGGACACATACATGTTATTGGGTTTACCCATAGATGGTAAGGCGGTAAACGGTATAACCAATCCTAGCGGTAGTGTCATAGGAGAACTCTTAGGGGTTGAACCAACCCCACGAGATGTGAGGGGCCAAAAAATTTTAATGTCATGGCTAAAAACAATTTATAGAGACTTGAGATTAACTCCAGAGTCTCCTGAAATATTAAAAATTAGAAAAACTCGAATTTATATTATGTTATTAATAGGGTTATTTTTATGTCCGGATACAAGTGGAAACACTGTTCACTCTATGTACTTACCTTTATTAGAAGATTTAAATAAAATAAAAACATATAGTTGGGGGTCCGCAACACTAGCGCACCTATATCGGTCTTTATGTAACAACTCAATAGCAAATTCGGGAAACTGGACCGGATGTGGTGTTCTTCTTCAAGCATGGGGTTGGTCAAGAATGACCAATCTAGCACCTATCCAACAAAATAATGTTGAATTTCCATTCGCTAAAAGGTAATTATTTTTCCCATTTCTCACTTATCTATCATAGTATTTCAATTAATTAATCATATTATTAATAAATGTTTTCTTTTCGATTTGTAGGTGGTCTTCGCTTGGAATGAATTATGACAACTGTCCACACTACAGTATCACGCAGTACAGGAATCTTATTGATCACTTGGGTCAAGATGATGTATACTCACAAACCTTACTATTTATGTTATTCTCTACTTTAATATTATTAGAAAATACTTAATATTAATTTTTTTCCTCCTACAGTTCATTTGGCGGCCGTATCTTGGTCTAGAAGCCTTTCATGAAGTTGAAGGACAAGACTCTGCGGTGTGGAGTGCAAAGGTGCCGATTATCAACTTCACCACCGTGGAAATGCACAACAGTGATCGTGTGAAACTTCAATTTGGAATGCTTCAAGATATTCCATGTCCGCCAAAGTGCATCCCCGACAAATATCACACTGGTAAAGTCTCCGACCAATGGGAGTATAATCCGTGGACCAAGTATGCAAAACACGAGTGTCGTGAATGGAGGCATCGCAACAACTATGTTTTGTCCGACACTGTGTTTCCATACGAGATGAAACAATCAATACAATACATGACTTGGTATAGGTCTGTATCAATTGGTTTCATTTCACATCCAAGGTATCTAGTTGACCCACGCCAACAAGATTCATCATCAAGGCCCCAACAACCAACCCAACTCTATTTCCAACCGCCAACACAACCCCATTTCCAACCGCCAACCCAACCTCATTGCCAACCATCAACCCAATACCATTTCCAACCGCCAACCCAACCCCATTTCCAACTATCAACCCAACCCCATTTCCAACCACCATCCCAACCCCATTTTTAATCGCCAACCCAACCCTATTTTCAACCCCCACTCACACAATCACAACAATATGAACATACCCCTAACCAATTCACTCCATTCACACAAACTCATTCACAATCCACACAATACCACACATACTCCATGGATACTACAAACCAAATAAACACCCAGTTTCAAACACTCAATTAACCCATACCCACCCAATCATTTACACCCATCCCACCCTACGATCAGGCAGGCTATCGTCCTGACATTGCCTCATCTAGCCAACCACCCCAAAATAACTATGAAGGCATGGGCAACCCTTTTGATTTAGATGACTTTACGGATATGGACCCGTCTTCATGGGCCGAAGTGATGCAATTGCTTGAAGACGATACAATGGACCCGACTCCACAACAAAGACCACAAAGAAACGTACATGATCGGGGATGCGGTACGGGTGGACATTTAAACCGACCACGACGTAGAAACTAGTTTACAATATCTTTCATATTTGTGATTCAATAATTATTGTAATTATTATTTAATATTAAATTTATTAAATACAATTTGATTTTTTTTTATTATTTGAAATTTTTTAATGCTATTATTAATTATTATTTATTTATTATTTGTAAAATAAATAAAAATTATTCAGAAATTATTATTATATAATTAATTTTAAAAAAATATTTTTTAATTATTAAATATTATTTATTAAATATTTTTGAACTAATTATACATTTAAAATTATAAAAAAAAAATCAAATTTAAGGGAGGAGCCAAAGGGGATGCCCCCCCCCCCCCCCCCCCCTTTATAATTTATAGGGTGCCTCCATCCTGGATGGCGCCCCCATATAAATTATAAGGGAGGAGCCATACCCCATGGCGCCCCCTTGTAATAAAAAAAAAATACGAAAGTTGGGTAGATTGGAGAATATGAGGGAAAGTTAGGTAGTTTGGATATTAAGGGGGGTAATGTTGGTTATTTGGGTGAAATTTTCTCAAAGATTCATCCAAAAAAATATACAATTCATTACTGTTGCACCCCAAATTTTGACCCCTTAGATTCTCATTATCATTTTAGGAGCATACTCATGAATTATCTAACCTTAACCCAGTGCAAGTTTGTCTTTGTCAAGTTACAAATGAATTAGGGTTTTGTACAGTTAAAATCAAAGCTTCAAAAAGGTGATCAATCATTATTTTGGGTTGATTCAATCATGAAACAAGGTCAAGGGTATCATATGATGACAATT